AAAGAATATTCCGAATTAAATGTTGACTTGGATAAGGATTAATGAAGAGGATGCTAACTGAGAAGTAATCGATAGTGATTTACATTTCGTTGCTTATTTTTAAAAAAATTCTAATGCTTTAATGGAACAAGTAAAGATTGGAAAGTGGATGCTTCTGAACTTGACTTCACGGAAGAATTCAATAATGGAAAAAATCAGAATTTAAAATAGTGGAACGTAAATGACACCATTTTTAAGAATAGGAGCTGGATGACATTTTGGAAAAAATAATAAAAAAAGTAGATGCTATTAAGTAAACCGTGACTGAAACTTTCAAAGCGCAAGATTATTTAGATGATCCAACTAACATATCCAAAAAAAAGTGATGTTGTTACGCTAAGTTTCGAATTGAATTAATTCAGGATCCATCGAGATTAAGTTGCGTTGGCCCGACCTGGTCTCGGTCCCGAATAAAACTTTTGAAATATGAATTACGCACATAGATTTTAACTCATTAAATTTATTTTATTTCAATCAAGCATTATTTACTATTGGATTTGATTTTGAATCCATGATTTTAGACACAAAATTGCTCTAGCTGTATGTGACTCCAAACTTTTCATTATGTAATTGTTTGACCTGCAATGGAAAGCAACACTTGTTAATAAGAATAAATTGTTTATTTTACATTTTAAGAAAAGCATTGTTTTATTTAGTGATGTTAGCCGGCTAAAAAAAATTTATCTTAACATTCATTTTTACGTCCGGAATTTAGTGCAGAATTCAGTGACATAGACGTTTAGTTGAGATGGGTCCACATGCATTACTCAGAGTGACAAAAAATTATACATTTGCTCAAAAAACAAAATACAATACATTATAGCAGGATAAAAGTCGTAGTTAAAGTTTCCATTCGTAATACAAATTCTCATTTTAATTCAAATCATTATTATTCATTTTATTCGAATTATTCGTTTTATTAGTTATATTGCTCGTTCTATTCGAATTATTCGAATTATTCATTTATTCGAATAAACTTTCAATGTAATTTGAATACTCAAATTCATACGAATAAAACAAATAAACCTTATTACCACTACTATCGTTATTATAATATCTCATCTTTAATGATTCGAGTAATAATATACTGGCAAGTTTAGTACCATCTGAAAAGCTTTTTCATCAACTGGATTTATTTAAGTTCTTAGCTGCTAAGAGTTGTTCGGCTTAGTCAGCTAGGGTTTTTCTATCAGTTAACATCACTAGTTTTATTATTATCTTTTGACGATTCTGACTAGCATTAATAAGTATTTAATTTAAAAACTTGAATTGATTATTGTTTTTTGTTATTTATCATCAATCTTACACAAAAACTAATCCTTGGCAGCGTGCGGCTCTTTTATTACTATATTCTTTTATCTTTTTTTTTTATTTTTTTTATTAGGCAAATTGACAATTTGCTTTTGTCCTTCTGTGGATGAGTGAACTCATCTGTTAAGTATTATATTTTTTTTTATTGTCATTTTTCATTATACATGAATCATTTATATTTGACTACTTTTTTTCATTATTTCATTAATTATTATTATATGCATCCATTAAAAAAGGCGAAGAACATTATTGAAGTTTTCCATCTTTTCGGCTATCTATTTCTCAAATTGGTTTAGGCTTTTTATCTTTAATATTAAATTTACTGATTCGTGAACTTGTATATATATTAATATGTAATTTTTTTATTAATTATGCAACAACTCTTTAATCGACAATAAAAAACAAACAAAACAAGTTCTTTTTCCAACAAATAAATAATAATAATAACAATGTTGGCAAGAATATTATTGCCGATTTTCAATGGTTACATAGTGTCTTCTTGTGATTCACTTTGAAATCTTGGGATTCAATTTTTTTGTGTAAAATCGATCACTCTGTGATTCAAAATATGCGAGATTGAAAAGCGTAAATCAGAGAAGTCTTCAAATTAAAAAAGTAGGCGAGGATCTCCTTGGATTTATTTCTGTATTACATAAATATTATTAAAGTTTCACAAAAAATTTCAATGACTCACTGCGCATCCTCTACTAAAACCTTGCTTATTATTATTACCAAAAAATAAAACTTTAACAAAATGTCAACTTGCTTTTCATCATTAGAAAATCTAAACTTATTATTTGACAACCTTATCAATTCCAACAACAATGCTCTTCCATTAAAATATATTGGGAAACTTGTAAAAGATTTAACAAAGTCATTGAATGAGTCTGATTTTTATGATGTAGAAATTAGTGTTGGAGTAAATGAGAATGTTAAGACTTTTAAAGCTCATTCTAACATTTTAAAAGCAAGGTCTTCGTATTTTAAAGCTGCTTTATCAAAAAATTGGATAAAAAAATCTGATGATGATATTATTTTATTTGAAAAAAAAAACATTTCTCCAGATGTATTTGAGGTTCTTTTAATGTAAGATTATTTAATTTTAATTAATTAATTGAATGACCATAATAATTTAAATTACTTTATTTTGTTTTATAGATATATTTACAATGGAACTCTTAATCTAGATAATCCAGATGGAAACAAAATTTTTGAACTTATTGAAGCATGTGATGAATTAAACTTTAATGAATTAATTAATGATTTACAAAATTATTTGATTAATAAAAAAAAAGAATGGATTCAACAGAATTTAGTTTATGCTCATAAATTTTCATTTCATCATCAATCATTCAACTTGCTTCAAGATTATTGTTGTGAGATGATTAGTAAACATCCAGAATTATTTTTTAAATCCAATGACATTACAACAATTGAAAAATCCATGTTTATAACTATGTTAAAAAGAGATGACTTGGAATTAGATGAAATTGATATTTGGGATATTGTCATTCAATGGGGAATAAATCAAAATAAAAAATTAGACAAAGACATTTCAGAATGGAAGAAAGAGGATTTCATTATGTTAAAAAATAAAATAGAAGATATTATTCCTTTGATAAGATTCAACCAAATCTCTTCAAATGATTTTTCTGATAAAATTCTACCATTTAAAAAAGTCTTTGATAAAAAAGTATATGAGGAAATTCTTCTATACTATATTAGTGATAAATGGAAGCCAAACCTATTGCTTCAAAAAGGTCCAAGATCAAAAACAAAATTAGGAAAATTATTAAATTTACAAACAAAATCTCTCATTTCAAGTTGGATTGATTACAAAAATGATCTATATAATGAAAACAATATACCTTATAAATTTGAATTAATTCTTCAGGGTACTCAAAATGGATTCTCTAGGTCTGTATTTGAGGATAAATGCTATAATATTGAACAAACTGTGACCATTATGAAAATTAAAGATACAGGAGAATTGGTTGGTGGTTATAATCCAGTTGGTTGGAATATAAAAGAAATGTCACCAAATGATTGGTATTTTATTGAAACAGACAAAAGTTTTATTTTTAAAATTGATGAAAATAAGATAAATAGCTCAATATTAAGTAGAGTTATAGAACCACAACATGCAATACGCCATAATAGTCAAAAGATTAATGTAACTAAAGATAATATAAAATTCCATGAAAGTATTATGCATTTTTGGGATTTATATCTATATAATAGTATTAATAATGAACCTTATTGTGGTTATTATTATGGTAAAAATCCTACTTATGAAAATGATTTAAATTTTAGAAATAAAAATAGAGAAGTTCATTTGATAGGAGAATGTGAAGTTTATAGGATAATAAAAAAGAATTAATTTAGAATAATTTACATGTTATTAAATTTATATATTTATAATAAAAATATTATTACTATGTCTTTAACCACAATTTCTGCGCCATGCTGCTAAATTTCAAATTTATAAAAATCACTGGCTATTTTTAGTTGAGAATTTTTCTGACACTACAATAAACTTTACAGTTACCGAATAAAAGAATAAAACAGAAAACATTCTTTTAAGCATCACATGCAAGAATGTTGGTTAAAGACTTCGTGTACCATATTAATATTAATATGACAAATTTTTGACCAAATACTGAAAACAATAATTAACAAAAAGACAAATTAGTTCAACAATTAACCAGTGAAAAAAGTCGATTATAAAAATTCAGTTAGTGAAAACCAAAACTTGTGCTAACAATTGGACAATAACAAAATTAAAGCAAGAAAATGAAATGTAAAAGGATCATTGAATTAAATTAGCCTAACATGACAAAAGCCAAATGAAGAGTGAAGAAACAGGAAATTCAAAGAGAAATTAATCAACTAATAGCATGCAAAAATATGAAAGTCAAAAGGAGACAACAATATCTCATCCCTGTAAGAATACAATTTAGATTTTTAACTTACTGTAGAATTTTAAATCTTATAAGGATTTCTATTAATGGTATTGGATTGAGTGAATGAATAGTGGCGAGGCTCAATATTTTATACACAACCATCAGTTATTTCTGAATAAGAACACACTTTGGGTTTTTAACTTACTGTAGAATTTTGAATCGCTCAAAAATTCCCAGAATTGAATTATTTTTTATAAGGACTAATATTATCAATTGAGAACAGGATTGGATTGAGTGAATGAATAGTGGATATTTTATATACAACCATTAATTATCTTTACATAAGAATACACTTTAGGTTTTTAACTTACTGTAGAATTTTGAATCACTCAAAAATTCCCAGAACTGAATTATTTTTTATAAGGACTAATATTATCAATTGAGAACAGGATTGGATTGAGTGAATGAATAATTGATATTTTATATACAACCATTAATTGTTTTTACATAAGAATACACTTTAGATTTTAACTTTATGTACATTAATTAACTACATCAAATTGTTAAAAGGATTTCAAAAAATAGTTGCCTTAAGAAATTTGGCTGAAATGTTTACACTATATAAAAACAATCAATATGTGTATAGGAATCAATCGTCCGTCACGTCACTAAAATTTATAATTTAGTGATCAGCAAAATGTTGCAAGTATTTGATTTGATTGGCTAAATCGACTTCGTCAAATTTCGTCAAATTTCATCAAAACTGCGATTTGGATTATCAATACTTGTTATACAATGAGTCTTAAAATAATTAATATGAAAGTCTAGGTTTTGCCAATTCGCGCAAATATAATTTTTATTGTCTAAAATACAATATGCAATAAAATTGTGAAAACTTTGTATATTACAAGCAAATTTATATCAATTTATAGCTCGGTGCTCAAATACAAGTTAAGCAATAAATAAGACAAACGAATTTTGTTACTCAAGATACAGTAAAGGCTTGAAACATTAAATTTTTTCATGCACATGACATAAATTCAATGGGTTATAAATAAATTAATAAAACTATCACAACATAAAACCTCAGTTTAATAGCAAAACAATTTCCCAATTCATCAACCAATAAATCATCAATATTTTAATATTACTGGAAACTAATGTTTATTGATTAATTAAAAAATATTATTACTAGTAATTAACGTACAGTGACTTCCGATTAGTAATGAAATTAATCAAAATTAACATTTAGAAGAAAGGGTTAAAATCAAGATCATTTAATAAACTATCGTTACTCAAATAACTTTTCAAGCTTTTCGATGTAACAATTTCATCATCTAATATTTTAATTGTATGATATGCATTGGATGTGACTTGCGTATTTGCTGTGATTCACCACTATCACCACTATTGCTACTACTTCTACCATCAGTTTCATGACTTTTAATTTTAGAAAATTTGGATATTCTCTCAATCAAACTATTGTTGTTACCTTCATTTATTAATCTTTTATTTTTATGAATTTCTTTATGTAGTTTTTTTCCGATAAAATTATTATTTATGCATCAACAAATCAAATAACTTTGTTGGCAAATTCAATGCAATCTGAGATTATTGTCAAATGCTAACCAAAAAAGAATGCAGTAATTTGGTGCATTATGCATTATTTGGAACAATAATCAATATACTATGTTCAGTTCATATAATGAATTCAGCTCAAAAGATTTAAACTATAAAAAATTAATTATTTCAAAAGTAAAAGGAAAATAATTTTTTTCGTTATAACACGCAATAGCACATGATTTCGCACCAATGTTCTCAATGAACCAGAACCAGCATTTTCAGTTCGTTAGGCAAAGTTTTGCGGTTTGAATAAAAGTAATCTAGCTATTCATGGTTATTAGTCAAAGTATGTCAGGTCTGGTATTTAAGAATAAAATTGTGATTATGCAAACACATAATAAGATGACAATTATATAATCATTGAAGAATTAAAGAATCAAAGAAATTTAATAATAATGATATTCATAAATAATATGCATATAATTTTCATGTGAAAAATTCATCCATTATTTTGTTGGATTTCAATCTCTACCTGTTGCAGTTGTTGATCTTGGATTTGTTGTTGCTGACTTCTAAGGGCTTCTAACAAGGAAGTGACAATAACATTACTTTCAAGGGAATGCCAAATCTCTGATTGTTCGTAAGAGTTTTTCTAAATCAGCATCTGTGCTAGGCAAGTTCACAATTTCCAAGAGTTTTATTTCGGTGTTCCTTTTGAATATTCTGATCCGTTATGTATAATAGTGATAATTTTCATATAGTTGTTGGCCAAATGCAAACACTGGGCGCATGGAAAACAAGTATAACAAAAAAAAATAGAAGGACAATTCAAAGAAAAACCAAAAGTAAATAACCACTTTTTATTTTCATAGTAATACTTTAAAAGCATATTCTTACACGGAATTTGTTAATCCCAAAAGTATCGACCATGAAATCAATCCAAGTGGAAATAATGTTTATTAACTCAAGGAAGCAAAGATGGCTCTTTCCAAATAATGGTAATGCTACAAATGATTATTGTTGAAGGATGCATGTCTTACAATTTGAGGATATTAAGAAATTTGCTTATTTTAGAATATATTTTAATATTGATGATGATTTTAGGCTAGTTTGCAAAGTTCAAAAGTGCAAATCATTGAGTGGTAGCAGTAATCAAAAAGCATTTGAACAATGAATTGAAAGAAAAACGGGAAAACCGAACTGAAAACAATAAATGATATTGATATTAATATTAATATTATGTCGAAATTCCATTCAGAACAATGAAAACATGAAATTTAATTGGTTGATTGGTATGTCAGAGCACTATATAGTAAAACCGTTAGAAGCTTTATGAGGAATATGTTTTGCCTACCAAAAAAATAGCTGATTAGTACTTATTAATAATTACAAAGATGAAGAAAAAAACCATCAATAAAATCATTTACTATTACCATTTTTGAAAATGATTTACCATCTAAAACCAAAATAGAAATACCTTATCAGCAAACAAAAACCCAGAGAAAAAATTAGACCCTTTATTGAATTTTATAACTTTGGATCGATTACTCCAATTATCTAGTAGGTTATTTTATAAAAGTTTGAAACAAGAAGGTGTTGCGAAACTGTTAAATTCAAGGCCACAATCATATTATTGAGGGTTTCCAGCTTACTACCCTGAAATGTCTTTGTGACATAATAATAATGTTTTGTCCGGGTTTTGTTACATTTACATCAATCAAAACAAAATAAAAACAAAAAATTGTTTACACTATGTTCACTTTTTCTAATAATGTCACAATGGACAATAAATATATATTATATTATTTTATTTATTTACATATGTTTTTATCACATGTGAAGTTGACCGAATATCGATTAGTAAAAACTCATTTTCTAATTCTTTTCAGCCAGGATAAAAGCTGTACGCCAATAACTTTCAATAATTGATTGTCTTCCCAACCTCCTACTTTTTTTATCCTTGACATAAATTTATTAACTGGATCCTCAGCATTTGGGTTTTTTGATGAAAACGTCTTATAACAGCTTGATGTCTAACAACCAGAAATAATAATAATGATCAGCTATATTTATATAATTACTAATCTAAGGAATCAAACAATAATTACTTTTAAATATTTTTCAAATTGAGAAACTGTCCAATCAGCCTCCATCAAACGATATTGCTCACTCTCTTTAGTTCCATCGTAAATTTCAAATTTAACATTTTTAAATAAACGTTCAGGAATCTCAAATCCTCTATATAAATTCTCAAGTATCAATCTACCTTCTTTCTCCTTATAATCACCCATCAAATCTATATAATGATCAATCAACAATTCCGAAGCAGTTGGATAATTATCAAAAAGATTATAACTATAACCCCAAATTGCAAGTGTACCACCACCCCGGATGGTGACGATGGTAATTTAAGAACACGATAAGATCCCTCTAAAAATTTAGGTAAATCAAACCAATGAGCAGCCTCAGCGACAGTTAATAAATCAATTGAATAATCATCAAATTGATTGAGATTTTCAGCAATCGAGATCGAATATGTAATATTTGATTTTTTAACTGCATTTTCTAACATTATCGCTGATGAATCTACACCATAAACTTTTTTAAATGAATCGGCTAATACTTGAGTCACTTGACCTGTTCCAGTTGCCACGTCTAATGCTGCATCAAATGATCCATTATGTGATTTATGATAATTGTAAACTTTTTCGAATAATTTTGTGGATATCTTGAAAATGTATTTGAAGAGGAGAGAAATGAGGGAAGAAAGAATTTAAAAAAATATATTGAACAGTATATAGATATATAAACCTATATATATATAGGAACATCGAACCTACGTTAGACGATATGCATTATATGCTGCATTATAATCTATATTAGAAAATGTAGACATTACTTTCAAAAATTTTTGCCAGATAAACGCATACATATATATATATATATATTGTTTGTATATAATATCGGATATCGTATCACAAATTCTTTTTCACAAATCTATTACTCATTCTGAAAATGAAATATAAATATAAATAATAATAATGATTTTCGCATTTCGGTCTAAATATTATTATACATAATAATTGAAATAGTATTACAGAATGGAACAAGATGATTTCAAAAAAATGTTGAAAAAAAATAGAAAATGTTACTTAGTACTTGAATATTATCTTGGTGATTTAATAAAAATCATCAAATTTTTCGATTGATGATGGCGTAATGGCAAAATTAAATTAACAAGTTGTAAAATTATCTGCGTATTAGAATTTATCCGCTATCTATTAGTATCCCCTTCTCTCAATAATCTCGTCTTAATCCAGTTATGTATTAGTATGTGTGAACAAGGTTTGTGGTGTGTAACGTGACCTTCAATTAAAATTCTTGAAAATTTACATATTATATTTATTTATTTATTTCATGTAAATATTTACATTTTGTACATAAAAACTTTAAGGATTTCAAATTTAACTTTAAAGTCTCCAATTAAATGTGTAATTAATCCAAAAGCATGGGCTAGATAATATATTTTTCATTTGCGTAAACTTTTATTTTCTTAATTCGCCGCGTCCTGTTTCTTGTAGATAAGTTGAAGATGCGTTTGCAATTCTGAGACAACTAGTTGGACAATTGAATCCTCTGATTAGGATTTTTTTTTTTTAATTAAATTTACAATATAATCAAATCCAAATTTTCAAATCATTTTACATACTAATAAACCTTTCTTTATTCTACTTGTCTTCTAGACAAGAAAAATGCGCAGAAGAAGCATGACAAAATCAACATCATCATTATATAATAATACATATAGCAATTGTTGAAAAGGTATGATTTACAATTAGGTTCATACAAGATAATTGCCAGAGAAAGGCTTAGTTATCAACAACATTCAAAGAATAAACCAACATAATAATGTTAAATGATATAAACAAGATGAAGTACTTGATCTGGTATCTTTTTACATGAATGGATCTGGTGGCAATATAATTTCCTGTTCCTGCACAGGTCCAAATCTGCAATATTACTAAATCAGGATTGTTCCTTTACATCTAAAGCTAGTGAGTAGGTTTTTCCACAATGAAGAACTTTGGGTACTGAAGTCTAAATTAATTATTGCTTTGTTATAAGAATTTTGCTCAAACCAAACTGGGGTAATTAAATCTATTAATATGATGGTAATTTTGCCCCTTAAATCTATCCATAATTTAATAATGATAACATCACCTCTTTCTATCAATTTACAAGTACTAAAAATGCCCTACGAAAGATTATTTTATGTAGAAGGCGGTGACCTTTGAATTCTGCAGTATCACATATACCAGTAGTACGATCGTGACATTACTTATCTGGTTAAATTTCACAAGAAAACCACGTGAGATTTTTAGATTGAATGATATCGGAATAATTTCAATTAAAATTTGATTAGTGCCAAAATATATTATTTGTGAATGTGCAGTCTCCCCACCACCTAATTCGCGTTTTTAAACATTCCTTCTAATAATTAATTCTTGTTATGCACATATATAGATAATTAGTTAATTTGTTTTAATCGCAGCCACCATAATTTCTACGCTTGGTACATCCCTGGACAAACTTTATCGTTATATGAGAGTTTTAGTAACAAACTGTATTCTAACTTTGAAATTTCAAAAGAATTTATTTATTGGATTTTGGAAATTTTAATATTAGAAAAGCAACTTGTATGTCCATATCACATAAAATTTAGGGATTGGAATTTATAGAAAAAGTGCACAAATGATGGCTAGCGTGTCCCCATACATACATTGATTTGCGGTACCACGTTTTTTCTTGAGAGGTTTTTGGGAACGCTGATCTCCAGAGACAATCTAAAAATCTCTTATTATTATTATTATTATTATTAAATAACCCGCAAGCAGGTTTTGATCCATTTAGCTTACTAGAAATCTCCTTTGCCCATTTGATTGATGAAGTCAAACTTTTAACCCTGGAAATTTATGTGATATAATTTCCCAATTTTTTTTATTATGCATATATTAAAATTTTTTTGAATTGAATTAAAAAAATTTAATTTTAAAAAAGGAAAAACTCAAATCATTCATTTCATCATTCCATCATTTTAACAAGTTTAACACAAAAAAATTTTTTTTTTAAAGTTTTTTAATTAACATTAATTAAAAAAAAAAAGATTATAATATGTATTAATAAATATTGTATCTATTTATTTGTTTATTTTATCAATCACACTTTCTTTCTCTTGAACCTTTTTTTTCCTCAAAAAAAAAAAATTTATTATTATTATTATTGTTATTAAATAAATAAATAATAGTAATAATAATAATCTTTCGCCGTATCGTTACCATCACCACATATCATACATATCATACATCATATATCATATATCATATATCATAATACTTTTTTTCTTCTCCTTCTACCTGACGAATACTTTTTTCTCCGTGTCAATAAATATATAATAATAATAATAATCAATAACAATAAAAGCAATATAAACGAGAAAGATTTCGGTTATTTGGTAGTTGGCAGTAGAGAGAAAATTTATTTGTTTTAGTTTATTTATTATTTTAAATAATCTTTTTTTTAAAAAAACAAATAATAATAATAAATAATAAATAATATATAAACATCAGCATATATTATTATTATCATATAAATATAACAACAATCTTTTTACCTTTTTTTTTCATTTATTTTTCGGATTAAATAAATTTTTTGTTTACGATTTTCTTAAAATAAATTTGCAATGATGATAATGTCAGCACCACAAACACCTCGTCTTAAATCAAAATTATCGTTGGATATACCACCTTCAAGTTATTCGGATTTTAACTCTCCAATTTCTCCCTCTTCTCCCTTTAATCCTATACCTTCCCCAACTCTTTCTGGCTCATGGTATGTAAATAAATCTCAGGCCGAACTTACCGCATTAGTTAAAGAGGCCTATAACTTTATAAAAGAAAAGGAAAGAGGTAATTAAACATTTTATTTATTATGGTTGTTTCGATGATATGATTTTATCATTACTACCACGTAATATAATCTTATCACAAGTCAATCAATTAGTTAATCAATCAGTTAGTCAATGAGCTTATTATTGTCTTGCATTATTTTTTTTAAAAAGATCTTACGTTAGCAGCAGAAATTGGGAAAAGTCTTTTAGAAAACAACATTGCTTTAAAAGCAAAATATGAAGTACTTTTAGGTCAATACCAAAATCTACAAAGACAACAACAAAAGGCGGCCGCCATCGCATTACAAGCTAATGCCATTAAAAAACCATCAGCTGTGCCCATAGCTCGACCAAACAGTTCGCTGGATCCTTTTATGGGAGATACCAGTGACTTTGAGGAAAGTGATACAGATTCAATTAATAATGGGTACGCCAGTTCTACTGATATGCATTCATCAACAGCTTCTAACAATTTGGTTAGAAGATATTATAGTAATACTATAAATAAAAAAAAAAAAAAAGACCATCAGCAAAAATCTGGTTTAACGTTTAAGGATATTGAAAGTATTAATGAATTGGAATCGAGAAATCAAGATCTTCAAACGAGACTCGATGAAGTAATAAAAGAATTCGATGAATCCGATAAATCCAATAAAGCAAAAATACGTAAACTAGAAGCTGATTTAAAACATTATCGGGATGAGTATTCTCTAGCAACGCAAAAAATTGAAGATCTTGATAATGAAACTAAACGCCTGATTCAAAAACAAACATCGGATTTTTGGAAAACAAAATACGATAAAAAATCATCTAAAAATGACGAATTTATTGAAATTCTAGTGAATAAAGTGGCTGAATTGGAAGAACAAAATCATAATATTGAAAGGGCGAAAGCTGAAACTGAAAAAAAATTGTCTAGAGTCATAGGAGAACTGGACATGTTACAAGAAGAATTTAATGAACTGGTCGACCAATCTAAAAACTACGACATATTACAATTAGAAAATCAAGAACAATCACAACTTATCATTCAACTGAGAGATCGTTTAGAAGAAGAACAATCAAAGGTTGTTAGCTTGAGGTCAGGAATACTGTATTCAAGATCCAATTCGAGATCAAATTCATTTTCAGAAAATGCATTAAGGAGATTGAGTGATCCAGATAGAATGAGATCGTTGTTTGGAACAGTGCCACAAACACCAACAGGACCAACACCTTCATCAAGTGGTAACGGAGGAGGCGGATTGGGTGGACTAGGAGGCAAAATCAAACGGACTTTACTTTCAGAATTGGAAAATGAATGGTTTAGAGAATTAACATTGTTTCAACGTGATATTAAGAAATCAGGAGGAAATGACGATGGATCACCGCCGTTTTCGCCAGTTTTATCAGAAAGAGCCCTGTCAGACTATTTCTTAAATAATGGATCACATGTAGATGATGATGATGTATCAAATATTGATTATTTATCAGAGTTTAGCTTCATTGAAGAATTCGATACAGACAATGAGAAAGCAATAAGAATAAGAGAATGGTTTTGGAGAAGGTGGGCAAGGAATGTCTATCTATTCTTTAGATTAATCTGGAGATGGATTAAATTTATTCTAATCTTGATTGCAGCCAATATAATGGCAATATACCGTGGACCTGATGATATTCTACCTGATGATATGTAAAACTTTCTTAAATATTATAATATAAATTAGAATAAAGAGGAGAAAGATCTTTAATTTTATATATATTATTATATATATATAATAATTTTTGATTTTTATTTTGAAGCATATATATATATATATTCATTAACATTTATCACTATCATTTAAAAAAATTTTTTTTTTTTGGCTTTTTTTATTCTGATTTCAAATTATTAATTTATATATATTATGGAGGTGTGGATTTTAATATTTTTTTATCACCCACCGACTTAATACACATATATATATATA